AAGAGCACTTTATCGAGGCTTCCCACATATTTTTTATCTATGTTCCAAATTCCATGCTCAGTTGCTGATAGGATTGAAAAAATTCAAAGGGATTTCCTTTTGGGTGGAAGAGGTGATGAATTTAAGTATCACCTTGTCAATTGGGAACAAGTTTGCAAGCCAATGAAGTTTGGTGGTCTTGGTATCAGAAGACTGGTCCCCTTTAACCAAGCTCTTCTGGGAAAATGGTTGTCGAGGTACGGAAGGGAAAGACATCGCCCTTGGCGAAGGCTTGTTTCTTGCCGATATGGGGACGAGAGTGGTGGTTGGTCTACTCGTCCGGTTTCTCTCGTGGGAGGAGTTGGGGTGTGGAAATTCATAAGGAAGGGATGGGACGCTTTTTCTACTCATATCAAAGTTCGTGATGGCAGATGTGTACGCTTTTGGGAGGATCTTTGGTGTGGAGACCTGCCTTTATCTTGTTTATTTCCCAGGTTATACAGTATTGCAGTTGATAGAAATGCCTTCGTAGCCAACTGTTATCAACTTGATAGCAGAGGGATTACGTTGGACGTGCACTTTCGACGCTCTTTTCAGGATTGGGAGGTGGACGAAGTATGTGTTTTCTTGGATTTGTTGTATCGACAGGAGGTAGTTGGCAGAGGTAGTGATGATATGACATAGATTCCCTCTTCCCATGGTCGCTTTGAAGTTCGTTCCTTATTCTTATATCTTTCTGATTTCAATATTGTTGATTTTCCATGGAAGACTAGTTGGCTTTCTATGGCTCCAACTAGAGTGGCATTCTTTATTTGGACCGCTGTCTGGGGTAAGATCCTTACGATTGATAATCTAAGGAAAAGGGGCAATTGTCTTGTTAACTAGTGTTGCCTGTGCAAACAAGATGGTGAGTCAGTTGCTCACATTCTCATGCATCGTTATCGTAAGGATTTGATTCGTATATGGAGAGGATGCCGTGTGAGTTGCGCTGTTCGCAATTATTGGAGAGTTGTACCACATTGTGTTTGGTGGTGCATTTGGAAGGAGAGGAATAGTAGAATGTTCGAAGGGAAAGAATCGTACACGGCGATTCTGAAACTTCACATCATTCTCTCTTTTCAGTTATGTGAAGAGGAAGTCATGTTTTTCTTCCGAAGATTTAATTATTTTTTTGGCTTCTTTGGGATCTTAATCCCTAGCTCCACTTTTGTATAAGGGATGCGTTCCCCTCTTGAATGCCTTTTTATTTGAATTATTACTTATCAAAAAAAAAAAAATTCCTTATCGCCATACTTCTCATGTTTTTCATCTCGATTGTCTACCACATTTGTTCCTAAAACTGTGCAGACTGCTTTGTCTGATCTGGGCTGGAGAAAAGCAATGCAAGATGAAATGGATGCCTTGCATCAAAATGGCACGTGGGATCTTGTTCCATTACCTCCAGGTGCCAAACCTGTTGGTTGTCGATGGGTATATGCTGTGTAGTATCTTCCAGATGGTTCCGTTGAGCATTTAAAAGCACGTCTTGTTGCCAAATGTTATACCCAGACTTTTGGTGTTGACTATGATGAGACGTTTGCCCCCGTTGCTAAGATTTCTTCTGTTCGTGTTTTGATTTCTCTTGCTGCTAATCGTAATTGGCCTCTGTTTCAGTTAGACGTTAAAAATGCTTTTTTGCATAGTGACTTAGCAGAAGAGGTTTATATAGAGCAACCACCTGGGTTTGTTGCTCAGGAGGAGTATCGTCACAGTGTTTGTTGCTTAAAGAAGGCCTTGTATGGGTTGAAACAATCACCAAGGGCATGGTTTGGAAAATTCTATGACTATGAGGCAGCATTAAAATATGGGCGTCAAACAGATCATTAAGTATTTCATCAACATACTGAGGCATGTTCTATATTTTTGGTTGTACATGTGGATGGCATCGTCATCACTGGTGATAACTTAGAGGGTATTGCTAAACTAAAACAGTTCTTGCAGCAATGTTTTCATACTAAGGATTTGGGCACACTCGGATATTTTTTGGGAATTGAAGTTGCATGATCTAACGAGGAATAAGCTTGTCTCAGAGGAAATACGTGTTAGACTTACTCGAGGAAACTAGTTTGTTAGGAGGTCGTCCCGTTGATGTTCCTATAGATCTAAATCATAAACTTGTGTCTGATGAGGGAGATCCATTCGATGATCCGAGTAGGTACCGTCGACTAGTTGGTAAGTTAATTTACCTCACCATCACTCGACCTGATATCTCCTATGCAGTGAGTGTTGTGAGTCAGTTCATGGCAGCCCCTAGGGTATCACATTGGCATGGTGTTCTTCGGATTATTCGATACCTCAAGCAAGCTCCGGGACTTGGATTGTTGTATAAATCAAATGGGCATCTCAGGGTGGAAGGTTTTACAGATGTTGATTGGGCTGGCTCCCCTTCGGATAGAAGATCCACTACAGGGTATTGCACCTTCTTTGGAGGTAATCTAGTTACATGGAGGAGTACAAAGCAGACAGTGGTAGCTCGATCCAGTGCAGAAGCTGAGTAGAGGGGGATCGCTCACACTTCTAGTGAGTTAACATGGCTACAACATTTTCTTGAAGAACTTGGCTTGACAGTCAAGACTCCTCTTTCGTTGTTTTGTGATAACCAAGCAGCTCTCCACATTGCATCCAATCCAGTATTTCATGAGAGAACCAAGCATATTGAAGTTGATTGTCATTTTATTCGAGATAAGATATTAAGTGGAGACATCTCTACACCATTCGTTAAAGCTGAAAATCACCTTGCTGATATGTTTACAAAAGCTCTAAGTCATAGTCGGTTGAAGTTCATTTGTTCCAAGCTGGGATTATATGATATATATTCACCAGCTTGAGGGGGAGTGTTAGAATGTATAATGTATATAGGTATATTTGGGAATATCTCTTATAAGGGGTATGCTGGTCATTTTGTTGTAATGTGAAATAGTTATATATATATATATAGCAGTGAGAGAGGTTGATTGTTCTGTCACAGAAAATACCCCAAAACCTCTCTATTACAAAGTGAACAAATTTTAATGCATGTTTTGTCACTATTGAATCTCCATTGAAGAGGCTCTATTATTTTGCAGGAGCTCGTGTGCTTTTCATCTAGAAGTTTCGAATTCAAAGAGGCGTGTCATCCGCCATGCAAAGTGACTCCAATTAAACTTTATTTCTTCAATATGGCCCCAGTAACTTCTGTTACATTATTCCTAAATCGACATCCATAATTGCAAGGTCCCTTCTTGTACCATTGGATCTCACCATCAATTTTATAAAAGAAAAGATCAAAAGAAAGGCACCATGATCTACTTGGTACACTGCCCAAGTTGGGAACAAGAATCAAGGGAGCATATACCGCTAGATGCACAAGTGACTTGTGAAAAAGCATCTCGAGGTATGCGGTGATGGCAAAGCTTAGTAGAAAAAGGGCCAACTCATTAACCCACCTCGAGGTTTGCAGATATAGCACGGCCCTTCGGACTTCTAAAGGCTATGTGGATTGGCAGCTAAGGATACAATGCTGTCATTGTAATTTTTAAAGATCAAGCACGTGTCAACCTGAACTAGGGAAGAGAGACATCAACCGGACTATTGGATGAGATATGCCTCATAGCGTGGCAACCTTGTGGATTGACCACATCTCCCATGCACAGTTACTGCCATAGTGATAAATACTTTCACGATGTTGATGTTTTCTATTGCACCATGATAAATAAGTGTACAGTAGAAAGTATAAATCAGCCACCCTTACCCCATAGCAGTTGACATATACTGCAATTATATGCAGAACCCACTGCACGTGGCAGCACTCCATTAGCTTGAAGTAGAGGTGGCCATTGCAAACAAACTTGACTACCTTATTGGCATTAACATCGCCTTGTTTACTCAAAAGTATAAACATGTAAGTCTGTCTGCAGTGTGGATCGAAGGTATTAACCCGAATTAGTTAACGTTAACATCTATTGCTATCTTACTCTCTCACTCCTCCATAAATCAATTTTATTCTTCACTCCAATCATGACGATTTAGTCTTTCCATTTCAATAATGTAATATTGCATCCCTACTTTCTGAAGGTAACCATATACAACTACTATAGTGAACAAGTGTCTATTAGGAAGAGGCGGATGGAGTATATCGTCAATGAGAGTGTATTTGGTAGTATTTTCCTATTTCTATTTTTCTTTATTTATCTATTGTTGGAGACAAATTCTTACTAGAGTATTGTGTGTGAAAGGATCATGATCTTAACCATTTCAATTTTACTTCTAAACAAACAGTATATCCAAGGAAGAAAACTGGAAGTTTTTTTTTTTTTTTTGGTGGGGGAGATAAGGTCCCATTAAAAGGCCCAAGAGGGGAGCGCTAAGAAGAAAATTGTAGTTTAGACTCAATTCCACATGAAATCCAAGCTTGATCCAAATAGTAAAAATCCATTCACGTGGAATTGTGATTCATGAAATTTCAAATATAATTAGAGCTCCAAACCAATTCCAATTTTATGCAACCTAATGCACCCTAAAGGTATCTGTCATAAACCGAACAGCACTACTCCCCATGAATGAGCAAACAACAAGACGGTCTGCTTGGAAAGAGATATTGTGGATTAACATGGTAAGCCAATTGAAACAACTAATAAGTAAAATATGGATTTTTCAGCTTCTAATCAAAGAAAACCTTTAGACAGTCAAAGAACAAGATATTTCTAGTTGAATGGCTCATCTTTTGTGATTCTCCACACAAAAACTAATAAAAAATAGGGAGAAGAAGTTTACATGTCAACTCCAAATAAAAAGTAGCTTTAGATAGATGCTACAAATCAAATTTCATTCAGAACTGTGGTAGAAAATTACTAGATTATTTAAAAAGAATTTCAAAAAACCCTGTATTCAACTCTTTTAGGATGACATGGAGGTAAGAACATGTCGCATTTTGATACTTCAATCAAGAAGATATATTCACCCAAAAAAGTTCCTAAGAAAAACAAAGATAGGAGAAAGCTTACTTTCGGCCTGAAAAGTCATTCTGATTAATATATATGAACGGTGTTACTCCTTCTGGTAGTTGAACCTTCAAAATAAATTTTCTTCATCACTTAATTTGTGCAGATAATATCTCACAGTATATTTAAATAATAAATGCATATATGTCATAGAATAACTTTCCAAGACATGGAGCTTAAAAATAGTATAGCATAGCATTGGTTAAACTTGGACTGCTAGGCATGAGAAAGAAAGTCTCAGAAAGAGGGCAACCTATTTGGGCCAAAAACAAAATGATGAATGTTGGGTCTCTATCCCATCTACCCTCAGCAAACACAGGGTAATGGCCTTTAGCATTGACTCATGCATGTTCTCACTTCTCAGAAGTCATCAAATACGACTCAAAACCATAAGTAAAAACATGCTAAAACACATCAAAGAAAACTAAACACATGAAAACCCTTAAAGAAATGTGCGTCTGCAATTAAAAGCCAAACATGAAATTGAAAGGAAAATTCTTTAAAACACGTAAAAGACAGACTAGATAGTTATGGTCCATGAGACAGAATGTTGGACTGCTAAGAAATAACATGTTCATACAATGAGTGTGTTAGAATAATGGGTTTTGAGATGGAATTGAGGCAAGAAAAGTGTTAACAACCATCTACTCCAAAAACTTAAACTGTTAGAGAGAGTGTAACTTAAATATATAAATCCTTCAACACGCCCCCTCGCGTGTGGCCTTCTTTCGGTCCAAAACGTGTTTCAATTTTTAATTATCAGGGTTTGAACACGAGACCTTAAGCTCTAATACCATGTTAACAACCATCTACTCCAAAAGCTTAAGTTATTAGAGATGGTGTAACTTAAATATATAAATCCTTCAACAAGAAGAAATAATAAGATTGGAAATAAATTCATTCTTAAGATTGTAGAAGAAACACGAATAGGAGATAAAAATAGGGTTAAAATCATAAAACCCTCCTCTTGTTTACAAAAATGACATATAACCCCCTCAATTATTAAAAAACCCCTTGAACTAACAAAAACTATCATGGTGCCCCTATTCTATGACTAAGCCGTTAAGTGAGGGTTAAATGACCAAATTGACCTCCATATTATAATATTATTTTAAGACTCAAATGTATATTTTAAAAATGACGATTATGGCCTTATTTTAATTTTAATTTGGGAAGTTAGTTCAAATTTTAATTTATTTAAAAATGTGAATTAAACAAAGCAGCGAGTGATAGACAATAACGACATTAATTCCTTCCTTGTATAGAATTGACAATGTCCAAAACCAGCGTGTGCATATATAACAGGTTAGTGATTATCTATACATGTATATATATGTGTATATATATAATTATAGTATCTTTCGGTGTCTTTCAAAGGCAAACAAAGCCCTAATTTTCTACCTTATATATTTTTTTTTAATAAGTAATAATTAATTAAAAGGCGTTCAAAAGGGGAACGAGTCCCTTGTACAAAAGTAGAACCGGGATCTAAGGACCCAAATAATCCAAAAAAAATGATTAAGTCATCGGATGAGGAGCAAGAACTCCTCTTCACATAACTAAAAATAGAGCGAATAATATGAAGTTTCAGCGTCGCCATGGGCGACTCCTTCCCTTCGAACATTCTGCTATTCCTCTCCTTCCAAATGCACCACCAAACGCAATGTGAAACTGTCCTCCAATAGTCGCGTACACTGCTTCTCACACGACATCCTCTCCATGCATTTATCAAACCCTTAGAAGATCAGGGCATTACCCAAAGCATACCAAATAAGCTGAATATAAGGTTCCAACAGTCATACGCCACGGGGCAATGCAAGAGTATATGATCCACTGACTCACCATCTCGTTTGCAAAGGCAACACCAATTAACAATACAGTTGCCTCTCTTCCTCAAATTGTCAATCATCAAGATCTTACCCCATACAGCAGTCCATACAAAGAATGCCACTCTAAGTGGAGCCTTAGAACGCCATATGGTCTTCCATGGAAAATCAAGGCCATCGAAGTTGGAGAGGCAAAGAAACATGGACCGTACTTCGAATCAACCTTGGGAAGAGGGGACCCACGTAAAATCATCACTACCTCTGCCAACTACCTCCTGCTGATACAACAAATCCAAGAGAACACATACCCCGTCCATATCCCAATCCTGAAAAGAACGCCAAAAGTGTATGTCCCACGTAATCCCACTGCTATCAAGCCGATAACAGTCAGCTACGCAGGTATGTCTATCAGTTACGATACTGTACAATCTAGGAAAGGTACAAGATAATGGCTGGTCACCGCACAATAAATCCTCCCAAAATCGAACACATCTATCATCACGAACTTTGAATCTGATGTAAGAAGAGAAAACATCCCAGCCCTTCCGAATGAATTTCCACACACCAACTCCTCCCGTAATAGAGACTGGACAAGTAGACCAGCCGCCACTCTCCTCCCCAAAACGACATGAAACAAGCCTTCTCCAAAGGCAATGCCTTTCCCTACCGAATCTCCAAAACCATTTGCCCAAGAGAGCTTGATTAAAGGGAACCAACCTCCGGATACCCAGACCACCCGACTTCATGGGCTTGCAAACTTGCTCCCATCTGACGAGATGATACTTAAACTCTTCGCCCCGGAAATCCTTCTAGATCTTTTCGATCCTTTCGGCAACAGAGCATGGAATTTGGAACACATATAGAAAATAAGTAGGAAGGCTCGATAGAGTGCTCTTTATGGGTCTCTTATTCACAAACTCATTAGTCACTGCAACCTCTCTTCCTTCCACAATTGCATGAAGAATGGATAATTCCTGATCACTATTACCCTCAAATGAGACACCCAGCAGCTCACTCGTAACTCCTATATTTGCAACTACCCATTCCTTGCCCAAATCAGCAGCCGTTTCAGAGCAACCGGGTCACACGACAACCAATGCTTCCACCATTTCCAAATTATAGTGGTTAGTCTCCAACCATGGGACTAGCTCGTTAGAACAGACCTGTTGAATGGAGACCAAGTCATCGATCACCTCCGCTGCACTATCCCTTCCACTTACAGACAACTCTGTCTGCGAATCCGTATCTGTAGCAGAGTCACCCATACCATGATTCAAAAAGCTAAGAGAATCATTCGCCTCTAACCCTCCGGGTGGCACACAATTAAATCCTTTCAGAGCAACACAGAGACGAAGCTCTTTAAGCAAAGCCATAGTTGAATCTTTGGTCAGCAGAAAATAGAAGTCGCGTCCCACACAAACCGTAACCCCCTCGGACGATTCCTTTACAGCACAAGCAACTGTGTCAACATGCCCAGGAAGAACAGGCCCGTAGCCAATCGTCCCTTCCGTATTCAACCCGGGCTCAACTACAGGCACCAATGGCAAAACCGGTAACACAACCCTTCTCCGTCTCAACACCACTCCTCAACACCCCCCAAGAAGGAGTAGAAGAAGAAAAAGGAGCAGAAGGACAGCTCTGAGGGTGAGAAACTGAGGACATACCTGGTCATTGGTAGAAGAGGTGCGAGCAATCCACTTTTGTTTATCATTTCAAGACCATCTATTACCAAGTCAAATCATATGAGAGCCCCGATTTGAGAATCTAGAGCTTCTATCATTCGGCAATGCAAGGACAAAGGGAAGAGACGCTACAGATAAAGCAGTATGACAACACTGATTATGTCGAAATGTCTTCTCGTCCGCAGTCAAACCAGCCTCACGTGCACTAATCTGCAGCCATCTCCTCTTCTCCGACAAGGTCCACAATCTGTTTGCAAAAGAGTCATGAGAAATACACTGTGGGGGTAAGAGAACATGATCTGATTCGTTGGGCTTTAACAAGACCTTTGGGCTAGGCTTAGCATTTGGCAAAGAAATGGATATATGTTTGTTGGGCCCCCACTTGACCTTCCTCTTTAATTCATTAGAATCTTGAGGCCCATGACACGGCAGCGTCCCAATAGCTATGTAAATACATCTTCTTCAACTAATTCACAGCGAAAAAATTTGGGCAACTTTTTGTAGTCCGATCCAAACAATAATGAAGATAATTTATCGGATCACAAAATCTCCGAAGCAAGACTACCCTCCTCCTCCGCCAGAAAACGCAAACAATTCACTTTATACTCCTTCATGGAACCAGTCCATTTTCCAAGTCCCCATGGTCCTCCAACCCCTTCACCAGCATCGACAACGATTCTTATGCTTACACCGGCCTCATGGACTTGCTCGTCCGCAAAGATCACCGCCTTCGGTGAATACACTGAGTTAGACAAAATAATGTCCGAGTATGGAAGAATCAAAAGGAATTTTCTGGGTTCAAATCGAACAATGGATTGGTTAAGGCGATTTAGGGCTTGCAATATTTTTTATTTAGGCCTTCAAACGATTGAGCCCTTGCATGATAGAAATCGAATGATTTTTGTGAAGAAACAAAAAGCTTTAATAGAGGATGAGAATGATTTGGGGCTTCCGTGTTTGCTATGTGTTTCCTTTGCTTTGATGATAAAAGTATATGAAAAATTGGGTTTGCAAGTGAGGCACGTGATAACTGAATGGGGCTTAAGAGGGTAGTATGGTCAATACTTGATTATAAGGGCAAATTGGTCAATAAGTGATTAAATGGTTGCGCGTGAAAGTCAGATGCTTTTCTCCCGTCTGAAACTAATGGGATGGGGTGATGTGAGACAATTTTGAAAAGTTTCTTTAGATGAGGGGGTTAGATGATAGTTTTGGCAAAGTAAAGGGGGGTTTTATGATTTTAACCCATAAAAATAAGACAGATTAACTGAGATCGGTTTTTTATGTACGAAAAACAAAAAACAAAAAAACAAAACAAAACAAAAAACAAAAAAATTATACCAGAAGAATCACACAGTTCACATTGACGGTAATGTCATGGGAATCGGAAAACAAAATTAACGTGGACAAAGATAATTCAAAAAGACATGGCAGCGCATAATTTGGCTGAAATTATGGCCTAAACACAGCAGAATGGGAAAAATGGGATTCACATAGCAAATCCTATATAGTTGGAAGTTGGAACATGCTTCAATCGAGTTGAATTGAGTTGTATGTCATCATGCATGCTTATACCAAATACAAAAGATTGGAGCCACAAAACTTTACTTAAGAGAGTCCAATCTTGGTGCACAAGTAGTAAGTCAGAATAACATCTTCCAATACAATGAAACAAAACAAAAACAAAAGAAATGGAACTCTTCAACCCAAACTAATCCGTTATCAATTCTACTTTTTTATGGCACCATTAACTATTCTTATGCATGATAGCAAAACAAAATTTACCTAGCAATATAACAATTATTAATAAGAAGAAAAAAACTGATATTATGTAATTCTTTTCCTAAGAGACTTGTTTTGGTTCCCTTGGCCAATTTTCATGCCTTCAAAGTATTTGCATAGTTGACATCAACTACATTAGGGTATTTTATTTGAACCAAAAACTAATTACCATATTTAAGCTTTTAAAGCCAAATACTTCCCTTCTTGTTCATTTTTGGTGGCTCAGTTGGGTGCTAATCCGTCATGGGCTTATCATTTGGTCTAAACCATAAATTACGAATAAAGCTTAGTAATGGAGATCCTTACTTTCATACTTTGCCTTTAAATTAAAATAACAATTTCAAAACAGCAAGCAGAAATAATAGATACTCGTGCATATAAATTGATCTTTTTCCTTTATTAATCCAAATTTAAGTTTGTCAATAAATAAACAAGTTGAACATCAAGGGTAAACATAATAATCAATAATCATAGAATTCCTAAAATAAACTTCTAATTTAATGGAAATTGTGTTGTCATAATAATCATAAACAAAGGTTATCAAAGAAAAAAAATTGTTAATGCTCTACGCAATCCCAAAGTATAGCAAGTAATACTAAACTAACTAAAAAGAATCATAATTTTTCATGCATCTACAATAAAAACCCTAAAAAAAATCAATTTCAAATTCTTGATGAAATTACATGTATCGGAAACTTTATGAAAACACACCGGAATAGGCCTTAGACGAGCTCTTGTGCGACGCTTTTGATTTTGATTATATCTGTTGCGAGATGATGATTTCTGCATTTTCATCTCTTCCTTTTTTGAGCTTTCGCTCTTCATTTTCTTTGCTTTTTTATCAATTCAATAAAAAAAATATGAATTTGGAATTCTGGAAGATCTAATCTATAAATTGAAAACCGTTCAACAAGGAGATTTACTATTATAATATTTATTACATTCTTTTTTTTCCCTGGGTAATATTTATTACATTCATTTAAAGCCTTACTTTCTATTGGCAAATAAGTCAAGATATGGAGAATCGTTTTGAAGTCGAAGAAACAATAACCCTGTGTGGGATCAAAATTTCAATTGGCCCATATTAAGCCAAAGCCATTATAACATAATGGTCAAGAGTGAAGAGTTGCATGGCATTTTACAGGGATCAATGGGGTAGAGGTTCAATGGGAAACATAATAAATAACACCTACTTTAAGTACACTCTTAAGGGTTTTTTGGCTTAAAAATCAGTAACACTCACTGCAAACAAACATAAGCAAGTAATCTTTAACTAAAGCCTAATTAAAAATGCCAATGTGAAAATGGATTAAAGACCAAATATGGGGCAAATACAAAAAACAATATAAATCTTAAATTCCATGGAGAAAATTGATTGAGACTATCACAAAATTCATGAAAATACTTTGGATTATGGCTACAATGAGCCTTTTAGCCACAAGTCTGGTTTCGATCTAATCTTTTGTAAGAATAATTTATAAATTCCGGTCTCTTCCTTGTTCAAATCTTTTTGTGCTTTTTTGTCACTAGATAAACGAAAGAGCTTTTACATCACTTTATTTTTCTTTGGATTTTTTATTCTTCTTCAACATATATTATAACCGTAGGCACAGAAGCGAGCACACATCTAGAATATTTTTGAACTGGAAACTATCTAACAAAGATTTTAATTTCATGTGATTATAACCATTTTAGTCTTACTCTCATAAGTTAACTTGTAAGAAATTATTTGCAGAATCTTTTCTAAGTCAGAGAAACAATAATCCCATGTATGATTAAAATCGCAAATCACCCTACCCTTTCTTTGCTTAGAAGCATGGCATGTTACACTTTTATGTGTTTTCTCTTTTTACTTACGCTTTCAAAAGGGGATTTGGTCCATACTTGCAGTACATTATAAGGAGTTTTCAAATCCTAACTCCTAAGAACTGGTGGCAACTGAATACTGTTCACACCTACCCAGGCTTTTGCCAACAACCTTTCTTTCAAAATCCACTTGGTGAACATAGCCGAAGTCCAGGAACAGCTACAAAGGCTTCAAGAGACAGTGGCTCAAAGCATTAAGAGGAAATAGAAAGATTTGTATGAAGAGGTCCTCAACCCTATGGTCCTTAGATTTGGAAGGAGTGAGAGGGCCCACATCAAAGGGTAGTTGAACCTACTCGTCTTGCTTTTACTGCTATATCGGGACTTACTCCACATACTGCTTGACGTAAAACAGATAGTGGATTTGTTTGTCTTTTGTTGAATCTTTTTCATGGCTCGATAGAGAATTTGTTAAGACAATGATTTTTTTCCGTGTTTTTTAATTCGGTTAACCAAGCAATAAATAGGATCAGATTTTGCAGTTTTCTTGTGCAGTACCTCGACATGACATGAGTGTGAAAGGGGTTCAAGAATAAGTTTTCTTTTTATAAGGGCTATAATCACTCATCATATGTTAACTGTGGGCTTAGGCATTGATAACCGTGCCTACTTCACCACAGCTACCATGATCAAAGCTGTCCAGGTCCTCCAGGAATCAAAATCTTTAGTTGGATTTATCAAGAAGAATTCTTATGAGAGCCATACAGTGTAAATATAAGACAAGGAATTCATTTGCGTGTACCTCAAATGTTGCGATCAACACATAGAAGCGAATAAACATTTGAATATTCACCAATAATCAAAAAGTTAATAACAAACGACAATAAATATTCAATTGAATTAGTTCTATTGAAAACAAATTATTAAAAATAACCTGTATCAATCTAAATTTCAACAATTGAAGAGAAAAAGCATACCATTGAGACTATCTCACTGCCTCGGAAAATGGAGTTCATTGCCCACTTGAGAAAAAAAAACCTAAAATATCATTCCAAGAATCATAATTATATTGCCTTGCACAAAATCTATACAACTGAAACAAGAAAGCAGCGTCACCAAGGGGGAAAATAAATAGATTATACTGTTATATTGATCCAAAGTGTTTGATTTTCAATTCTTGAGCTCTGTTAAATAACGAAATACAACTTACGATTGGAACTGACAATGTTTAATAACAGAATTGGAGGTTTGAAATACAACATCAAATTGTTAAGAAAACACAGCACACATACACATAACAAGCAAATAAGGAAAAATATGTACTTACAGAGATTATATCGCACCCTGAAACCCTCAGCCTGAAGAAATACAATGTAAAAGGTCAATCATTCGTACTCTAAGGGCAAACAGGATGATGGCCTAGAGTTTATGGTTACTCTTATTAGTGAAACAACTTTAGAGGGGTTTGCCAAGCGGTTTTACACTGTTCAGGCAGTTGTCAGGAATTGGGACAAAGGCTCTCTCTCTCTTCATTTATATATACATATATGTGCGTGTGTGTGTATATATATATATATATATATGGCTTTTTTGGTAGTCTTTGGCGCTCCAACACCTTCTGTTGATAAAGGAAACAAAACTACCCATATTCTCTTGTTTCTTCACCCACAAATGGTCACACTTATATTTTTGTTCCTTCCTTTCATATTTCTCTCACGCCATTCACAGATACGCATATCAGCCATTTTAGTCAGTGTACAAGAACCAAATGTAATGAATTAAAGGGCTAATACTAATATCAGTTGGTGACCGATACAACAGGCTGGTTAGAAATTTATTTATAATCAAAATTTTAATTTATCAGGATTTGTCTCTGTAAAAAAAGTTTGATTAATCGATGAAAATAAAGAACCAAACGAAACATTTAAACAGAAATAAAATCAGAGAGAGAACAAGAAAGGAAAGAGGAGAGGGGAAGAGAAAGGAAAGAGAAATCTGGGGAATACCGTTGTTACCTCTGTTCAAACAGCCTCTTTTGATCATCTCTCTCTACATTCAAGGTATCTGAAACCCTAGGCTACGGACGGCGTCTTCAACCAGCTTGCAACGTACTCTCAATACCTGTAAGACATGGCCGGTAAGCTTTCGACCTAACAAACATTGATGAAAGCAAGTATCAATATTTGAATTTTACCTTCCTAAAATATTTGAATTTTCCGGTACCTGAGAATCTTGAATTATGGCCGGGAAGGGAGGTTTGGTGAAGCGCGCAGAGCATTTACTAAACCAAAGAGTTGGCGGCAGAGTATTTTTATGGAGCGACAATACCAGCTCCTTACCTTTTTGGGCTTTAATGTTACACGGAAGGGAATTGTCAGGAGTAATGAATGAGCTGAGTGTCAGTCGCACTAAATAATTTAATTCGTTATAATTGGTACGAGAGTTAGACGTCAATTTTAATTCGGTGTCTCGTCAATCGTTCGGTCCAAAAAAATTTGAGTGTGCCTCCTCGCGTAGACAGAGTAACTTAACCGCAATAAGGGCGTTGCGAGTTCGAATGAGAAAGAATATTATGAGTGGAACTTGTGACATATTAGATCCGGATGAAAAATGTAACGGGTATAAATGAGTTGAGTGTTAATCCCGCCTAATACTCTCTTGGATCGAATCGCGACACACTTGACCCGTTACACTTACTATCATGGGCTATTTAAACTCTTGTTTTTGAAAAAAATTACAATTAGTGTAATTAAAAGTGAAGGTATTTCACAATGACACCGGTTATAAATTTTTTTTGAGAATAAGGGTATAAAGAATAGGATCATTACTCTTATAAAATATCACAAGTGTCATATAAAAGTAAATACTCCTACGTATCACCCTCACTTTTACAATGCACTAATTGTATTTTTTTTTAAATGAAAGTATAAATAACTAAGCCAAAAAAAAAAAATGGAGAAAATAAAAAATAAAAAAATAAGTGAGAGAGATATGGCTTATCGTAACATTCGATAACATCACAATATTTGACATAAGACATATATGGCTTATCATAACATTTGACTGGCGATTTTTTTTTTTTTTGATGTGTGTGCATGACTACCATGTCTAGAATTTAAAATTTTATTACAGGAATTATTAAATTAAGCCCAAGGGGATAGCCTCACATCTTGGAGGTCGAAAGTTCGAATTCTCTTCGGACCACTTTTAAAGAATTTTTCAAATAACTGCCAAGTGCATGTGAGACGGGAAACTACATGTGCCTGGTGATAAATTATTGGGTGTTTTAAGAGGGCCGATACCACTATCGTCAACAATATAAAATGAAATTTCACAATTGTACTTACCTAAAGTTGAGTTCAGCTTCTGGTGATAAAGCTGAACATTTGTTTTGCACAATGTCTTTATCAAGCACATTTATTAACTACCACCCTTTCCCTTGTATATTACAATGCAGGTTATCATATAACTCCATTTTATGTTATTATTTGATGGGCAAAAATCACCTCCATTCACACTGAGCACAATTTCCTCCATTTTGGAATGAGTGGGGGAGAAATGGCCACGTCACTTAAAAAAGTGGGTAAAAATAAAAAGTAACTGAAGTTGTATTAAATGTTTGTAATAAAATAGTATATTTGTGTAATAATATGGTATAGGTTATATTTATACGGCATATTGTCCATTTAGCCCTTACTTATTGTATGGAATTGTCCATTTAACCCTAACCCTTACTTTACAGAATTTGTAAGGAATGCAAAGAAAAGGAAGAAGGAAGAAGGTCTCTGTGGGTTTGAGAAGAATAAAGAAGGAAGAAGGTTGTCTGAAGGTCTACGTAGGAAGAAGCTGCTTTGTTGCGTGAAGAATGTTTGCGTGAGTCTGCGAAGAAGAAAGAAGGAAGAAGGTCCTGTGTTGCCCTTTTTGTAGTTGAAGAAAATCGTAAACTCTGTTGTGCGTTTGAGGCTTGGGTCTGCGAAGAGAACCATCGCTACATTGAAGAAAACCCTAACCTCTCTTTCCAAATAGAAGCCGTAAGTAGCGATTGTTCTGTGAATGAACCCAAATTTTGGTTGTTAAACCTAAGCAGGTACAAATAATAATTTTCAGATTTGATTTTGAAGGGAATCGTCTTATTTCCATAAGAACTAAATGGCAGAAATAAATATAATTAGTAAGAATATATAGACACATTTTTAGTAAGAAACCCTAACCTCTCTTTCCAAATAGAAGCCAGAAGCAGCGATTGTTCTGTAAATGAACCCAAAATTTGGTTGCTAAACCTAAGCAGGTACGAATCATAATTCTTAGATTTGATTTTGAAGGGAATCGTCTTATTTCCATAAGAAGTAAATGGCAGAAACAAATATAATTAGTAAGAATATATAAACACATTTTTTGTAAGAAACCCAGAAATAGAAAATTATTGGTGAATTTGAATTGATGGCTTTTTTATTGTGCAGTTATTAGGGGTATGAGTGTTTATTTTTTAGGATAAAAAATGAGAGGATTTGTAGAGTACATGAGTGGCGCAAAAGGAGTGTTTCAGAGTGTTACAATGTTAAGAAAATTGTGACGGCCCAAGTTTTGTAAACTCGGTGCGTCAGTGATGACCAAAAGATAACTCGATAACGGATTCGAAATGTGGAAGCGAAAGGTGAAACAACGGTCTCTAGAGATGCAATGCGTCTCTAAGACACCAATGTGACCCTCAATGAGGTCATGGAACCCAAAGGAAAACAAATGCGGAACTGTCGTTTCAAAAACGGACAAAAAGGAACCTAGGGGCAAAATGGTCATTTTGTAAAAAAGTGGATTCAAGTGCTATCGAGTACACCACTGGGAAGATAATGAAAAACTAATCATGATGGACTCAAGAATTTTATTATTCGGATTCCGGACAAAGGAGAAACGACAAACACAAAGAAAAACGAGCAATAAAGCTAAAAGGGGTAAAATGGTAATTATTCAAAAACATTTGGATGCAACCGAGCACACCGTTGGATAGACAATGAAAAATTAATCAATTTAAAAAAAAAAATTCACTTGATTTGGAGTCCGGATGAGGGAGAAAGGTCAAAAACAAAATCAACGTCGCGACGGCCCGACGAAGGCCGTAACAGCTACAGTGCCGTCAACCCACTACTGCTGCAACTGAGAGTAAAAACAGGCATCTGAATGGACTTTTCTGGAAAAACTCAAAGAAGAAACCCCCCCTAAAATCAAGTTTCCTACCCCGCTTATGAACGGACACAAAAAAAATGCATTGTAAAATGCCCAGAATGCCCCCAAGAAAATTTGGTCAAGGGGGTAAAAATTTCTCCGAACTGCTGCCTAAAGAAAGGAAATAAGGCTTCGGGAGGTTTTTAAATTGCCTAAATTGAAATGAAATCTTAAAATACACCCACAAGAGCCCCAAAAGTTTTGGATCGATCGTCACACTTTTCAAAAAAAAGTCGATGAATAGTACCAAGTACATTTGCACTAAAAATCTGCAAAACCTGGCAGCAAGGATTTTTCGGACAAATATGGATTTTTGAGGGCCAAGATGGAATTTTTTGGAAAAACACAAAGAAGAAACCCCTCTCAAAATTGAGTTTTCTACGTGACTCGTAAGGAAAAATGAAAAAAACGCATTATAAAATATCCAAAATACCCCTGGAACAGAATAGGGTAAAACTCCCTAAAAATGCTACTTAGAGTTTTTGTTTCATCAAGGATGGTGTTGTTTGCCAAAGTGAGTATGCAAGTGCATGCAATATAATAAAATATATGTACCAACATGGCTTAAAGCCTCTTTACATTCCATTAACAAGTTTTAGCATACAAAGCCTCCATAGTTGATAAAAATACATTTTCAAGCAAAATATGGCACCAATTGAATACAAGTGCAAATATAAACTTGCTTGGCTCTTGGCCTCATGTACTATATGTCAAATGCATTAAAAGGAGTGTACTTATGTACAATTTACATATATAGAATCAAAGAATACAAGTTTGATACATAAAGCTACCAAACGATCCAAGGCAATGAAATCTTCAAGTCTTGAAACATGTACCTGAAATATACCCCAGTAACGTAGGGATGAGTAACATAAAGCTACTCGTAGGAGATGAGCATGCATCGATCTAGCGTTTTACAGTTTTATCACTTTAGGGTGAAACATGTTAAAGGGGCTCGTGCCACCTAACGTCTATGTCAAGTGAGACTCAGGGATCATCCTAAGCTACCTAGATCATTTCTAGCATAGTCACTGTAATGACCCAGTCATTTTTCTTCCTTTTCTTTTTCTCATATTTTAACGAATATTTTTTTTTTCCGTTGTCTTTTCCTTTTTGGGTTCTGCTTTTCATCACTTGATGTCGTCTCGAGTGCTCTGGAATGATTTCCGAGACTCTTTTCTTTGGATTGACAACTTCCTTTGGGGATTGTGTCATTTCCATATTTTATTTTTCCGAACACTATTCACATTTTGTCTTTTTCTCGTTTATCATTTTTCCTTGCACAACCTCACTTTTTGTGCTCGGATTTGATTCCGGTTTTGCATGCATTCATGATATTTGATTTCCATGATAGTGGTATTTTTACTTTTCTAGAAAAGCATGTTGATTGCTTACTTCTTTCATAAAGGGGCATTAATGCATACTTTAGTGTAATTATTCTTAACTTATGGGGTTTTAGTGTAATTAAATAAATTAATTATTTTTCATCTTGGGGACCATTTTGTAATTAAATTTGGAAGATATTTTCAAAAAGGACCTTTTTGTAATTTTTGAAAAGTTTGACAAGTGTCACACTCTCATTGGTCCACTTGTTGACATTTGTGTGGAAACACTTTAATACATTGGATGATGACATTTGGAGGGTGAGGATTCACCCACTTGTTGGCCTAGGATTAGTGCACTTGTTGGCTTAGATGGTTGAGAAGTGTAGGTGTGGGATTAAGCCTAGGAAGGAGCCATGGGTTGGTGACAAGTGTAGGCTCACAATTTAGTCTTGCAAATATCTTTGGGCCACTTTGAGATTATGGTTTTAAAGGAGGGTTTTTGTGCAATTGACCATAAATGTGTGTGTTGACCATGTTGTAAGAGCACATAGTGAGTGGAGGATTTCTATTTCCTCCACTCACACTTAACCACATTATTTCATTCTCTTCCTTACAAGAAAAACCTAGCCTCCATGGATGGAGCTTGAAGCCTTAGGCATTGACCTTAATCTTTGAGGCCCTTCCACTTACTTTAGACCATAAAACTTGGAATACTTTTTGTTCCCCTCATCCTCCTCTTCAAAACACTTGAAGGATCTAGCCTAACTCCTAGTTTTGCTTTGGTATCTAGAGATTCAATTATCTAGTGAGTTATTGATCTATTATTTTGAATTA